AAAAATCTGTCGAGAAGAATATCGTTGTTGTTTTAGTCAAAAACAAAGTTTTATTTTCTTTGTGCTTAAAACGCGTGAAACATATATTATGTTTATATTTTATTTCAATAGAGATATTATAAATATTTTTGATTGCAAATATCTGTACTTAGACTAGATATCTAATATACTGGTAAAGATTTTTTTATAGTAAATAAGTTAAAATTATATAAATAATGGTTTCATCAAATGAATGAATGAGATCGTTTTGCAAAACTTGAAATATAACGCAAGTTCATCCGCTTCACTAACGGGATAGCTCTGGGAAAGGAATGTGGGGAGCAACCGCATTTTTATGGACTTGCTATCTGTTTACTTTACGACTCGTAAAAGTCTTGAAATTTGATAAAATGTTAACCAGCAGTTATACATTATATCAATTGTTTTTAATATTATTTAATATTTGTGATACTTATCTAAGTCTTCGTCATAATGTGACTTTTTACATATAAAAGAATATATTATAATATTCTACGTTATATTTTAAAGTACCTTTTAGAGTTTCAAAATTATATAATCGGCTAGAATACAAATTCAGACCCATATTCCTCAAATTCCGACTTATATCCGACGATGTGATAAATAGTTGTATTTGTGTCCACGTATTTTGTCATTTTTTATTGATAACAATCAATCAATTGATAATAATCAATAAAGGTCGTTAATAGCTACTGAACAAAAAAAAGAAAATCGGTTGACAAACGCCGGAGAAAAAGGTACTGGACTGTTTTGGCTTGGCCTATTTCTATATAATTATAAATAGAAATTGTATACACTTACTATACGTATAATAAAATTGTAACCAAGCCGAATCTGTACATTAGATATTTTTTGGAAAATCTTATTGAAATAGACATTATTATCGATACAGAAGCCGAATCTATAATTTTTAGATTTTTTGTCTATCTGTCTTTTTGTCTGTCTGTCTTTTTGTCTGTCTGTCTGTCTGTCTGTTACCGCATCACCGAAAAACCACTGGAGGGATTTTGATGAAATTTGATATGATGATAGCTGGTTATCCGGGTCAACATATAGGATACTTTTTACCGCGAGAAAATATTTTATTTCTAAAAACAAATACAAAAACTGCAATGTAAGAGTAAACTAATATGTAGAACCTAAGAATTTGGTTTTTGGTCATCTGAACGCGAGCGGAGCCGCGGGCAATGCTAGTTACATATAATATATTGAATCTAAAATTTGTAGCTACAAAATTAAATAATATACATGCATATGTTTCATCCTTTGGGGCACAATGTTTGCTTTAAAATATGAGAGTACAATGTAGTTAAAAAGATTTTAATATAGAAAGATTTTAAAATCGATTGCCAAAATTATTTCATGACATAAGCAAAAAAATCAAATAAAATACATCCTTTTTGAAATCGGTCAAGAACTTCAATCGGAAACTAACATTATTTATCTTGCTTATATTTCTTGATTTATTCGATTCATCATTATCGATATACTTATATAACTCAATAACGAATTACTTGAGTACCTGTAACACTCTTGTGTCTCGCCTCAAAAAGTTCTTAGCAACAGCTGTACAGTCCTGTGCAAACTTGCTAATTGAATCACAAACTCGAAACGTGTGTTTCCTTAAGCTGTCTACTGTTCTGGGTAATTGGATAAATTAATGCCAAAATGTAATTTCGAGTGTATTCCAATCATGCTAAGAATATCAATTTATATTAAATACAAGCGATTTCTCGCTCCTTAAAACGTAACTAGGGACGAACGCTCGGGTTCGCTTTAAGTTTCAGTATAAATATCCCAGAAATGATATATTTTGTTGCAGGAAAAACTATTCTATTTATTGACCCGGATAACCAGCTATCCTGATACCAAATTTCCGGTGGTTTTCTCGTGAAGCGTTCCCAGACAGACAAACAGACAGACAGACAAAAATTCTAAAAACTATAGACTCGGCCTCTGTTTCGATGATAATGACTATTACAATAAGATTTTCCAAAAAATATTTAATGTACAAATTCAACTCAGAATTTTATTATATAGTATAGATAAAATTTTAGTATTAAAATGTTATTCGACCATAATCATTATTGAAAATTTGAAGAAAACATACGTATTAGAATAGAATTTACCTATCTATATAACAATAAACGTTTCCAAGTGTTTTTTTATTGATAATACTAAAGCTCGTCATTAGTTACTAAAAAAAAAAGAGTGCGTCATGCGTGTAACCTGAACGCGAGGTTGAAATAAAAATTGTTTGCACTGTGGCAGATACCAATATAAATATAAATAATAATACAAAATATAAATATAAATAATGTTTATTCAATTATTAGTAATCAATATTTATTTTTATAAATAATAATTCATAATTACTTTATAAAATTTTATTAGTTATAACTAATTATATTAATAATATAAATAACCTTTCATTTTATAAGTAATAATTATTATAAAATTATTAATAATAAATATATATTTTGATAAATAATAATAATTATATAAATAATATAAATATATATGTTTTTCAATTATTAATAATAAAGACTCACTTCGGCAACATTCATTTTTCCAATGTATTGACTTACCTTTCAGTCACGCCTAAAGAAGTTTTACTTCAAAAAGAAAAGAAAATTGGTTGACAAACAGAGGGAAAAAAAGTACTTAAAGAGCCACAAACTTATTTGACCCGATAACGGCGTCGCTGTTGTTGAATTTAGTATTGCGGTTAAATAGAATTTCCACACTTTTAGGGTAAAAATAATAACTTAGCCCAAGTGCACAAGGAATATTTCGAATATAATCAAAATGTTTAGTCATTGTTATACAATATGATATGAACACATTTTTAATGAATTGTATTTTAATGTTATAATTTTAGCGACTAAGAATTCATCGAAATTCATTATCTATACATGTTTTAACTGAGTCGAATCTGTACATTAAATAATTTTTGGAAACGCTTAATGAAATAGTAATTATTAACGATACATAGTCCGAATCTAGAGTTTTTGGAATTTTTGTCTGTCTGTTGCGATGCACCACGAGAAAATTACTGGGCAGAATTTAATGAAATTTTATATGAGGATAGCTCATCATATAGGAAAATATATCATCTCTGAGAAATCTATACTAATCGTTAAAACCTACCCAGGGACGGACCCGAACGGAGCGAGGGTGAGTCGCTAGTCAACTATAAATTGCATTGTAACATAATAAGGAAATTAGCTTACAATGACTATAGATGTCTATCAGCCTGCTGTACCAGTAGAACAACTATTAATTTGAGTGTATATCGAAGTATGAAATTGACAGAGTGCTGGTTCAAGCGAGATGATTACGTTCGATAAAATAGTATTATGTCATCTAGGCTTTCGATGTTTACGCAATAATTCCCTATAACATATCACTAAAATAAAAATCCAAATATTAGCACAATTTTCTTATATTTTGACGGTAGATTATCATAATTACTTATCAAAATCGACACAATTATAGTATAAATCGAAGTGAATTATATTTATTATTATATTATGAGTATGTTTCTTACATTCTTATTTTTATATTAACATATTTATGTCCATAATAAAGTGGAAACTGTATTAATAATTAATCTATATACCAAAAAAGCCATTTCTAAAATTTTCATCGCAGCGATAGTACTTCGAACTCTATAAATTATCTGAAGCTCAAATCAAATGGCATCTCTCGTAAGGAAAGCTTCGGATAGATAGATTATTAAGAACTATCGTTAGCCAGCTGCAGTAATAGTGAGGATAAGGCATATAAATATACTCATATGATATTGTATCGAATAAAACCTATGTTTATCTTGATATTTCTATGCTTAAGAAGGTAATTACTAATACGCATATGTTGTAAATTCAAATAATACTAAGATCTATATATATATATATGTACAATATAGGTAAAACAAGAGCATTAATAATAAATAAAAGACTTTTTTAAAGCTTACCTTTTAATATTTATTCTAAATGGAAGCAAACAAAAAAAGTATGACTATTCCAAGAAGACTCGATAATTCATCTCTAGGGAAGTCAGCGTAATCATAAAACTTTTTATTTTGTCATATCAAGAAGGCCTTTTATGACTCCTTCGTGTAAGAATACTTTCACGTTCAATCGTATTCAAAAGGTATCTGAAATCCACAAGGGAGATCGTGGAAATAAGATATTTAGTTTATTAAGTATATCCATTTGATTTTGTGAGGAAAATCTACAATATATAGTATATTTACACTTAGAGAAAATTGAGATATTTTGCATACGTATTTAATCTGCATATGCGTTATATGTAATATATACTAGCAGAACCCATGGCTTCGCTTGCGCTAAAACTACAAAAAAAAACTCTTTGGGCTTATGCTATTTAGTAATAATGTATGTCTGACCAATTTGTTGACATTTATGATAACTGCTCCGCTCCCTTGGGTAATATAATAAACCTATAGTCTTCCTCAATAAACGGGCTATCTAATGCGAAAAGAAATTTTCAAATAGTATTAGTAGTTTTGAGATTAGCTCGTTCAAACACACAAACTCTACCTCTTTATAATATAAGTATAGATGGAGTAATCTATCTTGGTTTTCCCTAGCAAATTTAACCGATTTACATTAAACATTATGGAAATAGAATTATGGGCATAAAAATTCCTTGTTCAGATTCCTTCCTTAATTGCTTTTAGGATTTATAAAGAAAACAGTATGTATATTTTCTCAAAAAAGTTATACATCTTTTTATTTTTTATTTTTGCGTAATGTTTTGTATTAAGTTATTAATTTTTTTTAAATGAAAGAACTAAAAAATAGATTTTGAGCAAATGTGTATAAAATGATTGGTATAAGATATAAGTTATGTACTTACATATAAGGGAAATAAAACAAAAGGTTCGTTACATGATTTAATTCAATTCAATTGAACTTATAACAAATAAATATCAGTGCGGTTTTGTTTTATTTCTAGTCAATTATGTTTACTTTATAATGTTCTAGCATTTTCGATTTTGTCCTACTTATTTTTTTATACTTAGGATTTGCTTTAACAGATCTTCGGATGCTGCTTCTGGTCATGACTCTGTCGAAGATTTCTTCACTGGTATCTTCACTTCCATCATCAGAGAAATGATTATTCATACTGTCGTTCATTTTTTTTGTCTGTATTATAACTGGTTCAATTGTTTCGTCCGAAAACAAGACATCCTTAGAGAGTCCATCTTCATCACTTGTAGTTTTTTCAAGATGATGTTGAACCCAATCATCTTGGTCGTTGGCACGATTTCGAACCCATTCGTCTAGGACATTAGATTTGGCAACCTCTAGAGTTTTCTTCTTTTCTTCCTTCTTTTTAGCACCTTCTCTATTACTAGGCTTATATTTCATGGGAGAAAAGTCAACTCTACGTAGGAAGCTAATAGGATCTGCAAATCTTCTACTATATTTTCTACTTGTCTTTGTTTCAGTATTTTGTTCAGTTTTATGTGAATTATCGAGTTCTTCATTTTCCATAGCAACACCGGAGTCAGAATTCGACTCGACTTGTATTGTCATTTCAGGCACCACATAATTTTCCTTAACTTTTAGTTTTTCAGTGAGTTCAGCAATTATTTCTTCCTGCTTTTGAATAATATCATCTTTTTGTGATAATTGTTTTTTCACCGCCTCTGTTCTAAGAGCAAGGCTTAATTCATATTTATGTAGTTCATTGGATAAATATTCAAGTTCTTTCTTTCGATTTTGTTCCAATTTTTTTATTATTTCAGCTTGTTTCAGGCATGTTTCCTTTATTTTTGCAATTTCTTGCTTATGTGAAAGTTTTAGAAAATTTATCATGTTTGAAGCTTCTTGCAATGTGGTAGGTGGGAGTAGATCTTCCTTACTACTGTTCGCCATTTTTACTTTCTCAGATCTGTAACAGAAATACATAAAATTAATATTTTTAATTCAATATTGTTAGCAATTAACCAAACAACCTATTATGCAAGAATTTAAAAAACATTAATGTAATTTGTATTTGACGACTTTGAATTTGTACAACATAATTCCTAATGGGTTTTTAAAAGGTGCCGAGTTATTAGAAAGAGCAATTAACAAATTGTAAAAAATATTAGATTGTTCACTAATGTCATCAATATAATAAAATAATTTATTTAAATATGCAAGACTTATATTTTTCATGTTTAACTATATAGAAATAATCTAATATTTTCATAGTGAGTTATTTAGAATATATTAATAATTTTAATTTCAGTTTTTAGGCAGGGTTAAAACTATACTTGGACAACATTATATAACGAAAAGCTCGTTTTATTTTAACTAGTACGAATAGTTAATATCCAAGAAATAAAGTTTTGAGTATTATTTAACATTTTAAGTTAAGGATTATGTCACATAAATAGAAACGTGCAACATAATAATTGTATCATGACAGTGTTGTAAGCGATGATCTACCATTTGATTGCATTAATCCAATTAAAATGGCAACGACCGCCTTTTGATCTATCTAGGTGTTTTTACTTTAATCTTATATATAGATAATATAAATCTTTGTGATTTTTGGCTAGCATTTGGAATATGTTGTTCCTTTGTTGCATCATTCTATTAGCAACAAGGCGGTTCTATTGATACGCTTTTTCTATTGAAAACTCCATTAGAGATTTTCAATCACGACTTGTTTTGTAATGGATTCTTACCGATGACTTCAACTGGACGTATGTCCACTTTATGGGATACTTACCAAAAGATATTAATACTATAACAATAAGTCTATCTAATATATTTTTAGGGACATTAACATACAGCGCCATCTAGTTCCACGGTAAGCTACGAGGCTTGTGTTATGGATACCAGATAGTTGATACACTACATATATATAACTTTAAATACATACATATTATAAATATAAACTCCCATGACTGGAGTACAAACATTCGTGCTCATCACACAAACGAATGCCCCCAGCGGGACTCGAACCCGCGACCGCTTGCACAGCAAGTAAGGTCACTACCAACTGAGCCAAACGTGTCGTCAATAATATAATAATCTAATTTATGTAATATTCATTCATCAAAGTTTTCATTTAAAACATGACATTCAAAATATAGAAGCGTCACATAACCTTGTAAATACAATGGTGAGGATATGAAACAAAAATATCAGCTGTTCAAAAGGCCAGAGAACAATGCCCTATTATTATATCGTTGAATGGATATATATAACATTCAAAGTATTCATGGAATTCAGTTTATAAAAACACATACAGGAGTTGAAAAGATAAATTTTTTTAAAGGTTGATGCTCCAGCCGTAGATATATATTAATTCTTTTTTATTTATGTAATGGTTTACTAGAATCAATACCAAATATGAACCCAAATATTATTTAAATTTAATTTTAACTTACTATCTTAACAAAGGGTGTTAAAAGTGTAGCGTGTACATTTAATGCATTTGTGTGTCTGTGGCATCGTAGCTCTTAAATGGATGGATCGATTTTGATTGTAATGATTTCATATTTAATTATTTTTTTAAATTTAATTGAAACCATAAAAGAGGTCCTATAAAGTTTTAATTTTTTGGTTTAGAAAAGTTTTAGTTTTAATTTTATGGTTTATACATTTATTCAGACAGTATCTATCGAAAGTTGGAAAAAAACTATAATTACAACTATGTAGTTTGCAAATTTTTACATATGTGACGTTTTTGAGTAACATTATTTAGGACAGAATTTACAAAAATATTAATCTGTAAGTATTTTCCACAATAGCTCGGTAAAAATATTTATTGATGAAACCATTTTTTTAATAGTTTCAAAATTGTAGTTGTTTTTTCAATTTATGATAATATGTTAAATGCATATTTATTATATAGTATGTATTATATTAAGATCTTTTGAATTTATCCAAGTATTTTTTCTTAATAAAGTAAATATATAATGTATACTTACTCACTCTACATATAAAAATATTTATATAACAGATTACGTTTAGGAAAAGTATCTATTTACGATGTAGAAATATGATTATATATAATACTAGCATTGCCCGCGGCTCCACTCGCGTTCAGATGACCAAAAACCAAATTCTTAGGTTTTACATATAAGTATACTCTTACTAAGTTTTTGTATTTTTTCTCAGATATGAAATATTTTACCGCGGTAAAAAGTATCCTATATGTTGACCCGGATAACCACCTATCATCATACCAAATTTCATCAAAATCTGTCTAGAGGTTTTCTCGTGATGCGGTAACAGACAGACAGACAAAAATTCTAAAAACTATAGATTCGGACTTTGTATCAATAATAATGATAATGTCTATTTCAATTAGATTTTCCAAAAAAATATTTAACGTACAGATTCGACTTAGTTACAATTTTATTAAATGTGTAGATACATAGAGTTCAGAATGAAAATATTATTATATTTTAAAGTTAACGTGAACATTTAGAGCAAACAACTTTATCCGCTATATCAAACGGAAACCGAGCTTTAAACTCTAATACTGTTAATATTAAAGTTCTAAAGACAAAAGCTCGTATTGCTTACTAAAATATTAAAATAATATATGTTACCTGTATTTAATGATCTTGTACACTACACAACATAAACACTACACCACTTAACTCGCCAAAGTTCGAACACTGACTGAATGACAACAATCAATTGGCAAGAAAACTATGTAATTAACTCCCTTGCACTAAACCAACCTTACCAGTCTACCTGTTAATTTAGTGCTACAACAATCTACCTTAACGTCATATTATTAAGGTTGAAAATAGCCCTGAAGGGTCCTTACCCTCTATTGAATGAGTCAGGACCAGACTACCTGCGTTCTTAAGCTTACCAAAGTTGCTGGACCAGTCTATAAATAGATGGGAGAGTAGAACCGTTGCATCTAATGCCAAATGGGTAACAAAATTATTTAGGACATTTTAATGAGAAAATTCAATCTTGATAGGTACTATTTTTTACATATTATTAATATATAACAATATGAAAATATATTATAGACAATATACAAAAAAACAATATTTTATTGTGTAGATATATACAGAAAGGTTGGTCAAAAAAATGTTCGATTCTAAGAATTTCTTTCCTTGGTTCTTTTGTAAGGTTTGATTTTTTATTAGAGCATTGGTGAATGGTATTACGGGTTGGAAATATGTATTATTATAAGGATCTACTTGCTTTGTGTATTTGAACATCTGGTCGGCATATGTATGTATATACAAATGTTTCATCCCCATCCCTAGTACCTGCCCTTCTGCAGCAATTGACGCGCTTATTATAACACTGCATTATACACATATAACACTTTATATGTAGAAACTATAGCATTAAACTATAATATTAGTGACAAACTATAGTATTAGTGAGAGAGAAGTGAGGTGATTTTGTAAAAAAATAATTTTGATTTTTGGTTCTCGACGATGTTTCGAATGCTTTACAGCAATCATGGTCACGAGAGAGACTAAGGTTTTAGACATCTCAAAAGTATACTTCTCACAGACAGTGCCTAATGCTTACCCACAAATTTACAAAATGATTTAACAATACAAAAATATAAAAATGTACATTTTTAATTTTAAAAAATCCGAAAAGATAGTATTATTTAAAATGTCAAATATTCGCGTAAATCTAAGAAAGTATTAGGGGTATAATATATGTACCCTTTTTATACTTTAATTGTATTTTAAAGCGTTGAGTTTTCATTAAAAATTATTCTCAAGTTAAAACGCTTTGAAGATGAGAACTTTCCAGAAGGAATTATTTTATTAATATATAATGTTTCGTAATTACCTTAATGCTAGAGCTGCTAATGTGATATTAATTGCGGCAAGCTTTTATACTCCAAAGAGGTGTTAATGCGGAAATAATTACCCGTCAAAATTATAGAATAGATTATACCGTTATACAATAATCAGGAAAATGTAGCTAATTTAGAAAATTTCAGGACTACGAGTATAGTTTAGATTATATATATATGTATATATCGGCACTATAATCTACTGAGCCAACGAAGTGGTAGCCCCGTGGTAACGTGTTCGCTTAGGTAACCGAGTGAAGCGGGTTCAAATCCCAGGTCGCGCACGTCTAATATTTTCTTGTGCGAATCATTTCCAATATGATTGTCACTTGTCTTACGGTGAAGGAAAACATCGTGAGGAAACCTGCATGTCCCAGAAAACTTATCAAGTTTTCGAAAGACATGCGAAGACCACCAACTCGCACTATATACCCGTATTGAAGGGATGCACGTGCCCAGCAGTGGGACCTTAAAAAATGATTGAATACATGTATACGTAGTACTACTGTAATACCTACGGAAATTATTAACTGAAACGTTCACGTTGTCTATACTATATTATTAATTAGGAATTTTGAATACATATTTTCTAAGTTTAATCAACACAATACAAAACGAAATCGGTACATGAAATATTTTTTAAAAATGATGATGATGTTCTCCTACGATTCCGGCCACGGCGGCCAATCTCATTGAGATTAACCAACTTCGCAGGAGATATCGCAGACACAAGTGCACTCTCTATTCCTGTCACTCACATACTCCGGTGGGTCGACTGCTCGACACGACCAGTGAGAGTTAAAGCGCAGGACCGACGGCTTTACGTGCTCTCCGAGGCACGGGGGCGAAACACCGCCAACTTCCCAACTCCGGGCTGTTACTGAGACTTACTATACAGAAAGACTCAATATCTAAACTTGGCCCGACCCGGGACTCGAACCCAGGACATCCCAGTGTGCAGCCGTACATGCTAGCAACTACACCACCGAGGCAGTTAATTTTTTAAAATAATGCCTGTTAGGTACGCATTGTGTACAAAATAGCGGACGATCAAGACGCTTCTAACGATACCTCATTTATCAAACTACAACAACAGATGAACATACATACATATATACCAGTCAACATCATAACCCTCTCTTTGTTTCGCCGCAGTCAGTTAAAAATAAGTTTTATTCGGGTAAAGAATTTTCTACGGAAAATCATAAGTCATGCTTTCTATTACACTTTCTGTGAATATTAGTAAGAAATAAGTTTTCGCGGAATAGCATTTTTATTTCTTAACGATTCTTATAAACAATTGTTTGAAACAAAAGGATAATCCCACTACCTGTAGCGTAAATTGCAACTAACAGGTATGCAAATATTGCAAGAGACCTAAAAAGTTTTTTTATCTTTTATTTACTAATGAGATTATAAATGATTTATGGATTTAAATCATAGAAATATAATGAATTATCAATACTTAGAAAAAAGTCATATATTATATTATATACTATTATTTTATACAGATTTCAGTAAGGTTTATTATGAATACCTACTACATAAAACATAAGTACACACAATAACATAATATTATTATTAAATATTATATGTATTGTTATTCAATCACATAAAATTATTGAATAATAAATCGCATTTAGGTATAACTAACTGGCTTATACACATGTTACAGGATTAAGCTTTTAATCCAACCTAGTAAGCCCAGAGTTTATTTTAATATTAGATAAGTATTGAATAAGTATAAAGTTATATAATTACAAATTCTCAATAATGCACCAATAAATTACATAGAAATAAATTACAAAATTAAAGCAAAACAGATGAGGGAGATAGATAGATTGTCAACATAAGCGCTGTCGCTAATAAAATCTTTTTAACAAAAAAATAAAAACCGACTTCAAACAAAAGCACTAAAAAGTAAAAAATAACTGATTGGTAGTTTTCATTTACTATACATACCTAATCAAATATTTTCGAAGTCGGTGTGCTTTGGCTAAGTAATTAAAGCCTACGTATTAAATACATACCTAATCAAATATTTTCTAAATCTGCGCCAGCCCATACAAAGCAAAGCACACCGAGTTCGAAAATATTTGATTAGGTAGGTATAGTAAATGAAAACTACCAATTAGGAATTTTTACTTTTTTTAGTATTCTTGTTTAAAGTCGGTTTTTATTTTTTTGTTAAAAAGTTTATATTTTTCCCTTTTTAGTGTACACAGTAGTAGCAAAGTAAGAATTATAACGTGTTAGGCTTGTCAAATCAAACAAAATAAGCCCAAACTCAAAGTATCTACTATTACCCGTTGAAGAGTTCCACCTATCCACCTTCTGGCCTTATCATCAGATCAAGTCAACAATACCGAACCACTGCACTATCAACGGAAATAGAAAGACTTGCAAAGTTTCAAGTCAATATGACAATAAGAAGTAGGTTAAATTCATCATTAGCTATTTTTCCACCTTTATGGGTGGTATTTTTTTTTGAAATTTAAATGGGACCAATCTGGAAGTATACACTTTCAAACAACACAAAAATTGCCCAAATCGGTTGATAAATGACGGAGTTCTGAGGTAACAAACATAAAAAAATACAGTCGAATTGAAAACCTCCTCCTTTTTGAAGTCGGTTGAAATGCGGAGAGATGAATATATTGTCTTTATTTATTACGGAGTAAAACAAATCATAATATATCAGTTTTTATGACACGAAATAAAATTAGCATTTAATTAAGGAGACGTATTTTACTTTAAACTTATTTCGGCAAAGGAAAGTCATGGAAAGTTATAATTGGTAAACTTCTATGAGGCTCGCTTGTTGAATGATTAATCTATGTTTTGGCTGAAGTATGACATGTGTTTTGTCAGATGTAAGCGTTGATATTACTTTTCAAAGAGTTAGGAGAGGATAATAATCGTAGGTTCGATTTCTGTACGAAGTAAATAATATACAGTATATACAGATTATCGAATCAATTGTTACTACTATTACTGTGTTGCATTATGTTTATTATATGTGTCCTGTGTAACTGTTTCGGTGGTCTAGTATCTAGCATAAACGGCTGCAGATCCGGATGTCCTGGGTTCGAGTCCGAGGTCGGGCCACGTTTAATTACAGAGTTTTTTTGTTAAGTAGTAGCCCGAGTTATTATGTAAATAATCATAAATTAATAAAATATTCTAAATATGCAGATACTACTAATATACATAGTTTCATATTATAGCTGATCTGATGATAGCCAGAAGATGGACAGTGGAAGTCAAAGATGGTTCCTTTAATACCTCTGAGTTTAAACTCATTTGAGTTATTTTGACTAGTAACAGTCAGTTAAAAGCATGTTTATTTAGCTTTTTAATATTTATTTATTATATGACTGCCTTGGTGGTGTAGTGGCTAGTATGTACGGCTGCACACCCGGACGTCCTGGGTTCGAGTCTCGGGTCGGGCCAAGTATAGTTATTGAGTCTTCCTGTATAGTAAGTCTCAGTAACAGCCCGGAGTTGGGAAGTTGGCGGTGTTTCACCCCCGTGCCTCGGAGAGCACGTAAAGCCGTCGGTCGTGCGCCTTAACTCTCACCGGTCGTGTCGAGTGGTCGTCCCACCGGAGTATGAAAGTGATAGGAATAGAGAGTGCACTTGTGTCTGCGCGTACACTTGAGCACTATAATATCTCCTGCGCAGTTGGCTAATCTCATTGAGATTGGCCGCCGTGGCCGGAATCGGCTAGGAGAACATCATTTATTATATCCATTAACTGACATGGCACATGACTGGCACATGACTCAAGGACAGTTATAATAATATTGGATGACTAGATAGTATTGTTTACTCTTTTTGAAAAGGTATCGTAAAAGATCACGTAGATCACTGTAAACCTAAGCCAGTTGAGATAAAACAGAAAATAAAACACAGACAAAGCCGCAGGCAGTAGAAGCTATAGCGACAAATACTAAAGAGAATATGACATAACTATTCATACTTGTCGTGTCTGGTCTCGACCGGTCACAGTCTAGGAGGTACGTTTTTGGGCTGATGCAAACGAATTTTGCATTTCGAAATTTCGTTTTAAATGCAACGAATATTTTTTACATAACAATTAAGATTCCTCACTTTGTAATAGTATAATTAGCATAAAAAAGTGTTTGTCTTTTAAACTGCCTCCGTGACTAGATTATATGGTGATCAAATTACGAGGTTCTGATTTCTAGTACTCGGGTCTTGCCAAAAAGAATTGAGTTGGGAAAATGGTATTTTTTTACACTTTTACACGGAGATTATACGAGACGTCTTGGTTGTGTCAGGTTGATTACATTAAATTAAGAAAGAAATCAAGAAAAAATTGTGATTTTAGGTTTGCGCTAATATTTGTGCTCTATATCTTCTGCATAGGCAAAAAAGTATACTTAGTATTCTAGATTTCTATATTTCTCCATATAAAGGCACTTTGTTTTATTGGATGATGAACATTGTTATGCTTAAATTTCGTAATATGCGAAGAAGAATATATGCTCGTATCGGGAACCAAACCCGCTAACTTGGAAGTTTAAATGGAATTAGTCTAACAATTATTATCCATTATATCTTTATAAATGTAATATAGAATGTTAAATTTGAGCCAATTGCATTCGTTAACGAAACCTTTTTTCCCAGTAATCTCATTACATTACAGTTCATTGGACACAGCGATTTGAATTTAATTTAAAAAAGTTAGACAAACATATCGGGGGGCACGGCAGTGCCCCCGCCAAGTCGAGCAAAAAAAAAGGGCACGGCAGTACCATCCTTTTCTCGAAGCGATTCAGAGCATTTTCCACCCCCCCATAACTTCGTTATGGATAAAGCTAGAAACCTGAATTTTGAGTGACTAAGAGAACATCATATAACTAGATATATTTCCAAATTACATTCAATTTGAACCTGTAGTTTATGAACTGTTGCAGATCAAAATTCGTCAATATCGTCACTCACTCACTCACTCACCGATCATCAAAATTCTAAGGTACTTCTAGCAGACATAGGAGCTTCAAATTTTGAACACAATTAGTGTTTAGCCTATAACAGAAGGAAAAACTCAAACATCACGCAATTTCAATCCTGTTTTTGAGATATACAAACTGCATAAGTAATTTTGTAATCCTATACAAATAGATATGCGATATATGGGATTACAAAGTTATTTTTGCAGTTCATACATATCATTTTTCGTCACTTAAACTCTCCAAATGGATAGCTGGGTAAATAGTGGATATACTGTAAGTGTTAGCGATGACTAAAATGTAATTATCAATATTGTAAATAGTTTTAAGAAGTAATATATTTAATATATAAATTAAAACATATATGTATTTATGATCTTAATTATAAAAAAGTATATACAAGTAATCCAACACTCGGGTGTTTCCGTAGCGAGAGTAGCTCTGTATCTTATCACCTCGGGGCAGTACCGTAGCGAGAGCCGCTCTCAGTTGCTACAAGATCTCAAATATAAAAAAAATATATGGAGTAATCGAAGACTCGGGTGTTTTCGTAATGAGAATCGCTCGGTATGTTATCACCTCGGGGCAAGACCGTAGCGAGAGCCGCTCTCGGTTGCTACAAGATCTCAAATATAAAAATATATATATAAGTAATCGAAGACTCGGGTGTTTTCGTAATGAGAATCGCTCGGTATGTTATCACCTCGGGGCAAGACCGTAGCGAGAGCCGCTCTCGGTTGCTACAAGATCTCAAATATAAAAATATATATATAAGTAATCGAAGACTCGGGTGTTTTCGTAATGAGAATCGCTTTGTATGTTATCACCTCGGGGCAATACCGTAGCGAAAGCCGCTCTCAGTTGTGTGTATAATCTCAATTAAAAAAAAAATATGCGCAAACACCAGCAAAAGCAGTCATGTGTAGCTTCCCGGGAGTCCCTGATGTCCAGGAGCTACACCAACCGGTCTCTACGTTCAAATCGTTCTACGACAGAATAGAGGCCATTCCATCGACATTAACCTCACAACTAATCAGTGGTTAGTTTAGGTAGGATCAAACCCAGAAGGATTACCCTTATCGACCAAATCATACATAGAAGTAAGAGAATTCGTTGTAAAATAAAAACCAGCACGAACACTTGCAAAAAATATTCGTATCGTCATCGAGAATATTTTGTATAGGATAAATATAACTATTAAATAAATTATCTAAGACCAAATTTTAGCCATTTAGCACTATGCATGTAATATGTATACGTGGCATAGCTTTTGTATACCTATCTATATTAGGTTTATTGCATAAAAATCTTATATGATGATATGTAATTCAAGATTAGGATGCATTATTACTCAGGGGTTCAGTCAAAACGCTATTATTATTCCTACGCTATTTTTTTTTAAATATCTCCTTGTAGATTATGACGTAAAATTATATTACATAATTAATGTCCATAATAAATATTGTTGTGGTAGTACAGAGCCTTCGGAGCGTTAGTTCGACTTCTACTTGACTAATACATAGGTACGAGTACAATATTTATTTATCAATATTTAGTTTAGTCATGTTAAAAAAAACACAGGAATAACTCATATATTATTTTATTAACTTAAATATCCAACTAAAAAAAAATATCTTTCTCAGGGTTCCGTTTGCCATCACTAAGTATTTAATTTGTTAGTCAATTCCTCCACTTTAACGACATCAAGGAACGCTAGAAGGTTTAGGTATTTTTTTAAATAATAGGTCACAATAAAATAGCACATAATATAAATATTTTGACATAAATAAACTTCATCGTAGCTTGCTTTAATTTGTGTCGTTAATGTCAAATATAAATTTCGTTTAAAAATCATAAAATATTTTAATTAAATTTACACTATTTTTTCCTTCCATTATTTAAATTAAATATTATTTTTTCATTTCCTGATATCTTACTTTTATTTTTTTCTCCTCATTCATATATTCTAATAAAATTTATAATTAATAGTAAATTAATTAATTATACAATAGTTGCACTGTAAAAGGAGGTTAGGTTAGTGTGTGTAAACCTTGTAACCTATAGGTATGTATGTTTGTATGTCCGATCCTATGTTCCCTCGTAATCACTAACCTAATTTCGATTCGTCGATTTATTAATGTTTGTATTTGCAACTATATGTATTAGAAAAGTATTTTTTAAATGCGAAAATAATATTTTAAGCTTTTTTAGTAGCTTTACAATTTTTATGCATATACACATGGGTACATAAATGTAATGTGAAGCGTGTGTAGTTTATACCTACTAATATTCGATTACTGTTATTTATAATGAATTGATTTAAATATATACCTAATTAAGAAACAACTTGACGATTACTTAATTTTGAAACCAAGCTCGTATATTTTCTTTTACAAAGTATGATGTTGATATGAATTAGAAAACCTTGTCAACATCTCATTGCTCGTAAGTCTCGTACTCGTAACTGTACCCACCTAATAGAACATGGAATATAGAGGTCATGAAATATCAATCTCATCGAAAATTTCTTCTAAAATGGAATAGAAGACAAATTTCGGGATTTAACTACGATGCTGCAGATAGACACATAAATCTACACGTCTTATTAAACTTATGTAAGTTGAATATCAGTATCGGGGTAGGTATTTAGGGTCAACAATGAAATTAAAATATTCGTTAAATTAACTATACATATTTATACTTAATGCATAAGATAGTAGTATTAAAGTCCAGGAATCCGCAATTTCCCAATACAATAGATTTAGATTTTTTATCATCCAGACTTGTCAAAATTTGTTATATCAAAGCCTCTAAAAAGACAACAGAGACAAGGAGTGGGCTTTTAAAAAGACCTTAGCTGACCCACAAGAAATAGTACAAGAAAAGAGAAAAAGAAGAAATATTTACAAAAAGAAATGAGATCCCATCAAAAACATACTGTAAAAAATTGCAAGTCTCGCAATGCATTACTTCTACCGCAAAAAGCTATGAGATATAATGTAAAACCAAGTCGGTTAATTTATTCATTACCTATCTATGGAAGCATCTATCCGACAACTTTGTCATAAATCGTTACCGAATTAGTTAAGTTACAACATTTTATAGTAACCGTATTAATATTACATATATTTATTTCTTTAATTAATAGAATGACTTGGCCATCGCACATGATAATAGAACTTACAAATAACAAAATTTACCTAATATTAGCGTTCTGAGTGCATTATTTATGTTAGTGTATGCATAAATTTGACCCGCTAGTGCTATGTTCAGTTCATCTCAGCCCAAACACGTCCACAGCTGGACATAGGCCTCCCCCAAAAATTTTCATGACAACCAGTCTTGTGCCATCCGCATCCAGTGGGCTCCAGCGACTTCGACCAAGTCGTCGGTCCACCTTGGTCATGGTATGTTTAATTAGAACCATTTAAAGTAGTAGACTCTTATGTGATTATGTTTCCGTGCGATGGCCAAGTCATTCTATTAATTAAAGAAATAAATATATCTAATATTAATACGGTCACTATAAAATGTTGTAACTTAACTAATTCGGTAACGATTTATGACAAAGTTGTCGGATAGATGCTTCCATAGATAGGTAATGAATAAATAACCGACTTGGTTTTACATTATATCTCATAGCTTTTTGCGGTAGAAGTAATGCATTGCGAGACTTGCAATTTTTTACAGTATGTTTTTGATGGGATTTTATTGTTACC